ACACCAAAATAATGTTCATAGGCTGTCTTAACGATAGGTGTCATTTTACGTTTCTGAGCCTTAAATGTTATTTCACCACATATATAGCAAAAGCTATCGACAGAATTCACACACTTTCGAGGCATTTCAGATCAGCACTTAAATTAATTTAAAAATCAACTTCACACGATAATTTCAATAGCAACCACGTGCGTACAATTGACAAACTCACATAGGTTATGTTTACTACTTAAGAACAGCTGATGAGAGGGGTGTTATGTAAACAAACATGTGTACCAACTGTTGGTGATGAAATATTTCATTTGTTGAAAACTCAATATACATATATATAATATAATGATACTATATCTTGAAAACAAGAGCTAATATATAATTTTTATGGTCACTTTCGGTTTTAACACGTGGAAATACATTAAAATCATCTAATTTCAACCCCGAAACAAAAACTTTGTTGTGTTGTGTAATTAACTTATCACCAGTCCTGACACTTTGTTTTTGTTTTACTATTTAGCTTAGTTCTAATATGACCGATAGACGTCATAATGAACTTCCCAATTGTATTATTGGCGGCAAGTAACTGTAGAACAATTCCTGGATACCAGCGCTTGCTCCGGTGTGTACCTACTTGTATCATAAGAACTATGACTAAATCAAAATCATAGTTCAAAAATGGATATACATATTTACAACTGTCATTGTTCAATTACAGAAATGTGTAGGAAAATAGTTCAATAATGGAAAAAATACCAGTTGTTTTTCCACGTTTTTGTACATAAACGATGACAGTTCCTGTTCTCAGTTCTTAACCTTTCTTGCGTAAATCAATCCTTATTCTAAATAAGTGAATCTGTTTTCTTATCTCTAGACTTGTTATGTAAATGATGGTTTCATAGTCATACCGACTCCATTTCAATTGAATCTGTATTGATCAACTTCCAACTTCGACCAGATGTTTCTTATATTGCCTAATTCCTCTTATGATTTCAATATTTTTGATAAGTTCACACATACGCTTCTTTCTCAACCATTTGGTTGCATTTTTTCTGCGGGAACATGAATCCAACCCCTGATCTGTTATTGCGAATGCAAACATGGAACAACGTAATATTTTATAAATAGCCGAACATATTTGCATGCTTCAAATTGATATTGAATGTCAATAAAGGTTAAGTATTCAATGATGGTCTATTCAGTTCGTAGGATGCGATCTCTAATGATATTGACCGCAAGCAAAGTTGCTGAATTTATTATGTAACAGTTTCCATTGAAACTGATTTAAATAGGCCACATCGCTGTCATTAATAATAATTTACAATCTGACCTTCTTTGCAACAGATTGTGAATGTCTGATGCTATTGTTTTTCGAGAAGATATTGTGATGGAATGCTTTGTAAAATTACCAGCTGAAAAACATTACGAAAATTGAAATTTGGGATAATGAAATTAATGCATAAATACTTTATTTTGAAGTGAAATTGACAGATGAAACTTTCAAGATGGCGACTGGGCGCCATCTGGGAAATAAAATTAAGTGGAAAGGGGGGTCTTGTGACACATCTTTTTGAAGCTCCT